TGCCACTTGTAAGTATTTATTTCTATGGTGAATGTTTCTGGTTTTGAAAAGGTGTATGTGTTACTTGTTTTCTCTTTACTAACTTGCCAAGTATGTTTTTTACATGACAAAGGAACCAAAGGCTGAACGTTTATTTTGAAAAGAAAATTAAGTAAGCCATTCTTGTTCAAAATTTTAAGTCCCAAAGATTAGTCGCTTCATATTGTTAAAAATATGCAGCTAAAGCAAAAGGGAGACTTTGAGTCACTGAAATATTCTGAAATGTTTTTGTGATGGGAGACAGAAAAATATTTATGCACTGAATCCTAGAATAAAATTGATAAAAATATTTTCCGTTAAAATATTCTGCATCTACCATGTAACATTTAGGAAGTGTCATAGTCCATACTTTCTTGCAGGCCTAGCAGTTTTTGACCATGCTCCTGACTTATTCTCACCCTTCTTCAAAGGCATAGTTCTTCCATTCTTGAACTCACCACAAGTGGCTGGTTTTTCTTACACTATGCCTTAATATTTTCCACAGCTTCCCTGGGACATTACATCTTTGGAATAGCCTTCCAAAAGATCAAGAATGTTTTGTGCTTACTACACCTGGTCTTCAAACCTGCCCCAAAGGTCCCTCTCTGTGTTCGTTTACAAGAACTGAACAAAACAATTCATGAGACAGAAAAAGAGAAGAAAATGGTATATTGATGAGGTTCATGGTGGCTTTGACTAGCAACAGAACCTTGTATTCATTAAGCACACCTTACTTTTTAGGTAACTCCAGGTCATGTTTTCATTAGGTTTTGTCTTCTACCACCAGTTGCCCCACAAAAGAGAGGTGGAACCATTCCTTTGTGGACTTTGGGCATTTTGTCTGCATTATGTAGCAGATCCATTTTGGACAAAATATTTTAAGTATTTCCTGCTTACAGATGAATCACATTTCTTCACTGCATTTCTGTTATGAAGCATTTGCTGCTTAGAAGTCCTGCAGCTACTCAATCCCTTTTTTCCCTTGAAGGCTAAATTATGCCTATATATGTCAAACCAGAAGGAATTACAAAGTTTATATCAAAATTTTAAGTAAAGAAGAATTTATTATTGATTTAAAATAGTTTGAATTCTTTCAAAAACCCCTTAGGATTCACTGTTACTAGCACACTGATGTTTTATGTAGATGATACATATCCGAAGATGAACATGTAATGGGATGTGTCTTTAACCTGGATTTTTACTCAAATTTTGTCCACCACATTGGAGTTTCCTGAAAAAGTGCATTGTGCCCTTTTGATTTTGCAACTATAAAATCTCCAATTATAGATGGTAGAGATTGGTTTCAGAGAATTCTTGTAAGCTAATTTCATTATTTAAATTAATTACTTTTGGTTGTTTTGGATAAAAACTAAGAGGATGAAGAAGACCACAAATTAATTTATCTCCTCAAGCTCCTAAAAATTTTTTCTTTCTTAACAATGGCCCCCCACAAACCAAAATATCATCCCAGAAAAGACAAAGAAACATTTGCACAGTAGAGTGATCATGGGAGAACATTCTTTTTCTCTTGTCAGCATTTTGCCTCTACTGGATGAGATAAGCTTCAGTATCTGTGCAGAAGTGCTGCAGTTCAACTACAGATGGGGAATGCTCAAACATGCTGGAGAGCAGCGCAAATGGCAGTATAAACACAGGAATTATTTCAGCTATGAACAACTCTCAGTGTACAAAAATTATCCAGAGTATTTGTAGTTGTGTAGTAGTTCACAGTGAATATGTTTCCATTATTAGCTCCTGTTGTAGAGCATTTGTCAGATTATTAAATGGACTTGTCTTGTGTTGGAGCATAGCGTGCCAAGTCTCAGGTCAAGTAAGCCTTTTGGAATGGAAATGAAATAAAATGGATTATATTTATGAGTAAACTGATATACATCACACTGATCTATTGTATACACTACACATTGTTGAGCAGTCAATACTGCTATTTGACAGTCTGCCTCTTGTACAGTTATGCCACCTGTGAGTACTGCAAGTATCTCATTTGAATGACTATAAATCTTGAATAACTTGACAAGTATGTTTTTTATGTGACAACTTTATAGAAAACGTACAGTAAAGCAACTGCTCCATGTATAACCTATTCCTGTTTCTCAGCGGGTAAGAATTATGTTACAGTAGCCCTTTAACTGGTAAGAATTATGTTTCAGTAGCCCTTTAACAGAGTGGATTTATCTCTCAGAAAAAACATAAATTAGAAATTTAAGAAGACCTCAATGAAGTCAGTAAAATTAAATGAATGCAAATACTGTGTCTAATACTAGTGGATTTTCAGGTCAAAATTTAATCTTTTTTGTTGAAGTAGAAGTAAAAGTATTATTTTTAGGGATATTTAATTCAAATTACCTTTTGTTCTAGACTAAATATATTAAGTCCTGGTCTTGGACCACTGTGAAATTGTTGCTCAAGGAAAGGCAGAGGACATATGAAAAATGATGGTTCATCTTTTTTTGAAGTTTTTTATGGTAGATAGTAGAAGCTGCTGGCTGTACTGAAGTGTTGGGAGTACTCTGAGAGTTTAACTAAGCAGATAGTCAGATTTCAAAAATTAAGGCCCTGAAAATGCAATTCATTTAAGAAGGTACACCTGTCAAATTAACTTCAGTGCATCTTAAATGTACTTAAATATCTTGTACAATAGTACACTTTATTCCATAAGCTTTTGACTATATTAGAACATTTTCTGATACTGAATCATATGTTTAAAATAGTACATACATACAAAATTTACATATTTGTAATGAGCAAGCAAAGGGCTAAATTATGTCAGATGCCTTATGAAGCAGTATGCCAAGATAAGACAGCAAAAGACTTGCTTTGACTAAATGTAACTTCATTGATAATTGTGGCTACTGCCCTTGAAAAGGCAGATAATGTTTGAGAAGCCCTTGAATAAATACACTGTGACTTAATTTTTCATATTTTGTCTTTCATAGGAAATATTGGAAAATGCTTTGTAGAGTCAGGGAGAAGGGAAATGCAGGAATTACATGCATGCATCAGCTTTCACACAGAAAAATCTTCTTTTCACATAGAATTGAAGAAAACATGATGGAATAGAGTTATGAGAGCCAAGTTGAAAAGGCAGGAAAAATGGTGATGTGCATGCTTACAGAATAGTGAGAGTTCTCAGGGGGATAAGAGGTAGGTTCATGAGGAAGAAAAACATGAGAAGAATGCCAAGTGTCTAAAAGACTAACTGAAACAGAGAAGACACACATATTTAAAGCACACAGTGTTGCTTTAACCTTGTTCCGTTGGGTATAAGTAGTGACCCTGTTCTCATACACTCCAAATGTATGGGTGTCTGTAAGATTCAATATTCTTTACAGGCTGCAATATCCTCAAATGTAAACTTATGAGAGGCTAAAGGATGTGCATGAGAGAGGTTACTGTGGAATAGCTGCCATGTGTCACTTCATCCTGTCTTCCCATAGCAGAAAATCATATTTTATTAGTAGAGAAGCATTCTGACACACAGAGATGAGATTTTAGTGTTTTGGAATATATTTTTAAATATCACTCTTGCCACATATGTCTACAAGAATTTCCCTCAATTTGTCAGTGGTTCTATTACTGTTAGGATTTTTTTTTTTTTTAAATTTTCATGGTAAGAGCATGACTATTTTATTTTCACTGTAGTTTGCAGTATTTAGCAGTATTTTGCCTTTTTTTATTATTTTGTCAGCCTCTATATCTAATGCAAGTGCAAAAAGAGGACTGTATGCAACTGCATGACTTTTACTTCTCAAAATAATGCTTGAGAGAAACTGTCCTCTCATTTTGGAGGGGAAGAGAAGCAAAACTAGCATAGTGCACGTACATGAAAATAGAACTGTTCAAAGTTACAATAGAGACTTCTGATATTAAAGCACCTTTCTGACTTAAAGTCTGGCTTAGCTGCAAATGGTAGCTGGCCAGTTCTTGTCTCAAGTTCTGTGTGAGAGACATAGGCACAATAATTCCAGATGTTCTCTCTCATATCTGGAAAGAATATATTAAACACAGGACAGACTTGAGAATCAGCGAGATAAAGATAATACAGTATCAAAGTGCAGAGTCATAGAATGGAAAAACACCGAGACCAGACATGATGTACTGTGGGAAAGCATTTCTATCAGGAGAGATTTGGGTCATTTATAACCTGGTGTTGTGGAATGTCAGGGTTTTAATCCTGTTCTGTCCTCAAAGGAGGAAAGTGTGAATTGTTCTCATTGAACAAGATATAGAAATGAAAGGGAAGAGTAAATATTCCTGGAGCAAATGTGTGCTTCTCTATCTACCCGCATTATCCTGATCCTTGCACCACTCATGCTGAAGTAAGCTGTTGTTATGGAACTGTGTACACCACGGACAAATCCAAAATGTGATCCCAGTGCAACTGTCAGTAGATGCCTGCACTCCTAACAGTTCTTTGAAACTGAATTTAGCAAAGTATTCTTGTTGAGAGCTAGCTCATCATCTCCTGAGCATGGATGTGCACTTTGTTGCTCAAGGCCAATGAACCATACTGAGAAATTTCAGTCTGGCTATGCAGGAGGGACAGGCACACGGGTACAAGTACAGCTACACAGGAGCTGGAGAGTGAATTGAGATTACAGGTGGCAGGGAAATTGTGGCTCTGTGTACATGCGTGTAAAAATAAATGTATGCAATCCTAGAATCAGTTCTTAAATACATGCCTGATAGCAGAAATACAAAATGAAGATAATATATATTGTTTCCTCAGACAGAATTATTCCTGTTTGCACTGTATTGATCCCTTGTGAACAAAACACTTCACTTGCTCATTGATAAATTGTGCTGCATAATCTTTCATTTATGCAACAAAAAAAGGTAGATCTTTTATATAGGTAATATTTAAGACTTATGATCTTTTCTTTACATTTCAGTTCCTTATGCTTTATTTTAAATATGCTCTCAAGCAAGATCAAAACTACAAACAACTTGAAAGACATTTCTACCTTTACAGCTGCTGTTTGTTTCTTCCAGTTGCTTGTTGGAATCATGGCTCTTCTGAGTGGAATATTAACCATAATGCTTCCAGAAACACTGGGAAAACCATTGACTAACACATTGGTGGAAGCTACAGAAATGGGAAGAAACAAGAAAAGCTGTTCAGGAAAGACTCCTCCAGCACATGGTGGTGCAGCATTAGAAAAGATAGAGATGTTTGGTCAAGAAACAGTCAGCACTGAGAAATAAAGCACCAGCAAAATGGCTGTTCCCAATTTTAATCATTCTCTAATTTATAAGATCTTTGTATTCAAGAAATGTGACTGTTCTATAATATCTGTGCCTTCTACTTTGTATCCAGTCTTGCCTTTATTTCAATAGAGCAAGACTATGAAACCTTTTCCATGGGACTGAGTTACTGCAGAAAATTTGATAAGATTTCTAGATCCCTTGTCAAACTTACCCAGACTTTAAAAAATCTGACTTGCTGTTACCAGTTGGAATGATTACTCTAAATGTCAGAAACTACCTGATTACATATATATATATATAAATATGTCAATCCTTTGCTTCACATTTTCTGCAGTTAGAATTGTAAACCTACCATGAAGTGCCCTCTCTGCTCTCATTGTGTTGCAGCTGACAGTTAGAGGCTTAAGACTTCAAAGCACAGTAAACTCAGTTATAATTCAAGAGAGAAGCCTTAACGTTGAATTGAGTCATAGCAATACTTTTAAAGTTAAACTAATTTATTATATTTTTTTTCAAATTTTCTACCATTGCTAACAGAGGAAAGTATTCTATGGCACAGCTTCTGACTGAAAAAATAATACTAAGTTTGCAAAATGTGCAAATAGCTTGTATATTCATTCTGTTGAATGGCAATTGTATTTTTATTAGTGGTTTAGAAAAAAAGTGTTCACTGGATCTACTGCTGTCCTAGTTTAGGTAAAACTAAACTGCCTGATCCCTTTAAAAGTTGTAGTCATTCCAGACCGTTATTTTAATGCTCCCCTTCTCACTTATTTCAGCTCAGATCTAGCCTCAGATTTTTTATAACTTTTAAGAGCTACACTAGCAACTTTACCAAATGCCTCCATCAAGGTCTTCACAGTCTTCAGTGCAGAGAGCTCTTACTCAGGCTCTCTGCACAGAAGTGGACTTAGTTATTAATGAATTTTTAGTAGACACGGTTTCCACACAGTTATCTGTAGCTCATTTTTTCCTTATCATACCACACAAAATCAGTTAGAAAAATATCATCTAAAAAATGGTAGCTGGAGGACACTGATCAATAGAAGAGTTACCAGTTACTCTAGTAGTTTTAGTCAAAGTGTCTGTAAACATCCCACTGTTGCTACACCTCAGGTGTGCATGAACACTTACTTGTTAGTGCAGTGTTTCTGCCTTATGACTGTGGACCATAGAAAACTGATAGATAGGAATGCATCACTCTGGTTGCTACTTTTATTGTTTTCTCTCCCACCTCCCCCTCTTCAGTCTACCTCCAGTCCTGGGGGTTCTTCCTTGCCTGAGGATCTACATCCTCTTTGTTTGACCATCCTTGGTTTGAGGGGAGCAGCACACCAGCTGTCTGCGTGTTGAGGCTGAGACAGCCCTCTCTTATCTGGGCTGTGTGAACTTGGTCCCCCTTGGTTTGAAATCAGGTTTTTTTGCATCTTAGGGACCTACTCTCATGGCACAATCTCAAAACAAGTCTTTGTTTACTTCTTTGCCATGTACCCAAAAATAAGGTATCTGTATTACTACAGATAAATATTCTGTATGCTGTAGAAATTAATGGCCGTATTTTTCAATTATATCTGCACAATCATTAATTTCAATGACTTCTGAAACCAGAATAATGGTTTATATCCCCTTATAAAAGATTTTATTCTTCACTGCACTGTCCTAGATTATCAAGTAGCATTTTGGTCCTGGTATTAGAACAAAATAATATCCTATATAAGGACTAACATGCTTTGAAGCAAGCAAAATTCAGTCAGTTTAAGTTCAGAGAGTTTCTATGAGATAATTATATAGAAAGCATAGAAAAGAATCTTTATGCTCCCTACAGTTCTGTGGGTGTTGCAATGTTTGCAGAGAAAACCTCCAAGAAGACCTGCACAGAATACTCTGGCTTATGTCCAGATATGTTAGTTCAGCAAAAGCACTTACCCTTACCCCGTGAGTAATCCCATCATTATTCAGAGAACGACTTGAACACATACTTTGTTGACTGAAGACCGGATTACTCACATGCTGTGGTTTTTCATTTTGCTGAAGAGCAGACCTAGTATTCTTCCACTGCTTTCAGATCTCCCTCCACTTACCAGAGCAGAACAGTAGATCTTTATCTGCAAGATCTATTGCCAAACCCTGCATGCCCTGCCTTAAATAAGGGTTTAACCATGCTAAAAAAGAAAACATCATGCAATACACCTAACAAGGAATTAAACTGGTACTATCTTCCATTACAGCCACCCTTCTCACACACAGAGCTCCAAGTTGTTTCCTTATTTTAGGGTTCTTTCACATGGGTACTCCCTCTTTTGATAGTACATCTATTTTAAAACTCACTTGGGAGTTTTGGGAGCACTACAGTCTAATTCCAACAAGGTACTGATTAATTTTAATTGTTCATCAATTAAAAAATAATTTTAATTGTTCTTTTTTCTACTTCCTTACTTGCCAAATAACTGGCAAGTAAGGTGTTACCCTGGTACGAACAGTCAATGCGTGTTCTGTGTTCCTTTGGCTTGAGGGATTCAGGACCTGGTGATCTGTAATCAGTATACATAAGGTAAAGAAAAGAAACAGAAAAATCTTAAATGCACAATGATACTGATACTGTTTACAAACTAAACTGTAATTATATTTCTAGACTACAATGTTGGCTGGTGGCTTTTAAGACCAAAACCCAGTTCCTTCTGTCACTGAAGTCAGTTGGTATTTGGTCTTTGATTCAAATGACACCTAAATTTCCCTGAACTAATGATGTTACTGTTTTTCCTTAGAAATAAAAAGTTTGTTGATCTACAGGTACACCTTTTGTGATCTTATGTATCAATAGCTTAGAAAATGCCTTGGAGTATCCTATTCTTTAACCTGAGGAAGCATATTATTGAAAAAAAACCAGGAAATGGCGTGTCTCTGTATGTCTCTAGCATTTCTGTTTGATTGTTTTTTCCATATGGACAAAAATATGTTTAACACTAGTCATGCACTATAAATGTAGCAAAATCAGGGTGAGTTGATTTCTTTCCTTTCAATACTCATAGATTTTCTAAATCCTCTTGCAAGAGAGCACTGAGTTTGAGAACAAATGCTCCTGTTCCTGTGGGGCATCTTTTCATTTCATTGCTCATAAAAAGAATTATTTTTTATAGTTTCTTATCTGAGTTCTAAAGTTCTTTTATGTTTGTATTTTTCATCTCTACCTTAGTGCAAATTTATTGTGCTGATCTATGTCTCTGGAGTTACATAATTGTTTTATGACATAGTGAATCTGAATTCTTACCTGTCTTAATTGCTGGTCACTCTTGCATGATGACAAATGTTTTTGTCCTAAATCTTATATCCAGTTTTATTAGACAGTCTTGCAGTTTGTTAAGGACATACTTTTTGGGTTAAATATAGGAATAAGAGCAATTATCATTAGTTTAATGATAACTAATGAAAAATAGTAAATATGTTTGATATTTTGAATAATTATTTTAAAACTTTGTGAAAGATCTATTTTCTACTTTAACAATTCCCTTCAATTTCTATGTGCAAAATTCTATAGTTTAAACAACCACGTAGGAAAAAAAAGCTATGCAAACTATGTGCAGTAATCATATGCTCTGAGTAGTACCCTGAATGTCTGAACAAGGGGTGAAGCCTGCCTGAAGGCTGAGGGCTTTTATGCAGTGGCTCTGTGGAAACAGATGATGGTCTGACATCCCAGCGCTGGGATGGAGTGCAGGACTCATTGGCCTTCTCCTGCATCTTTCACAGCTTATTTTTACCAACTCCTTAGGTGCAGTCACTTAGGAAGCCTCCACAGCACTGGGCTCAGCAACATGCAAGGTCTGTGAGTGCCTTTTGCAAGATCTTAGGAAAAGGTGAGGTCATGGAAGCTTCATACCAGAAAGGCATTTGTGCCTGCAAAAAGGAGGCTCTGGATTCATCCTATGCCCTTTTCAAATATCTTAGAGATGCTCATCTGAATCCCAGAACAGATTCCTAGGGGAGAAATTAAACTCAAAAATTTAAAAAAAAAATATAGTGTTCACAAAAGAACAAGTTTATTCTATCAGGGAAAATTCTAGTAAATGCTGTCAATTAGTATCTGCATTGTTACCTTTCACAGGAAGAAAGATTAAAGCACACCTATGTATTGGTAGCCTAATAATTTTGTACAAGATTCTGTACCAAACAGAGTGTGCATTTTGGTAACATGGAGGAAGTATGTATTCATAGGAAGGAGTTTGTTTGCCCAGAATCTGTGGATTCAATACAATATATTTTAATGGTTTTTTAAAATGTGCATTTATTATCTGCAATTATGGGCAAGAATAAAGTCAGACACACATTTTTAATTTTTACACCTTTACCTAATTTAATGAACTCCTATCACCAACTGTCCATTTGGTTCACAGTCCCTTATAGAGGCCTTTTGGCATTCCACAGCAAAAACCATCTATGGTTTAAGCTAGCAAGTATCATGTGTATGTCTTTTCCCTGTTTGTGTTTGCAGGTGTAAACCAAGGTTTGGGTAATGTGTTAGATGGTGACTATGACAAAATGCACATGAAAAATGTGACATATTTTGCATTTCAGTTACGGAAAGAATATTATATTTTTTTTTGCTTTTATTTGTATAAGCTGACTGGGGCAGTAGTCCCTCAGACACATTCAGTAGTGACAAAAATAGCTGCAGATACTGTAGAATGGGTATGAGTTATCAGTAAAGAGAGTAGGTGACTACAGAAATGACAGAACAATGTACATGAACACTTGGTGTTCAGTGGATGTGAAGACTAACTGTAGCTTCCTCATGCAGGCATTGGAGTGGGCAGACAGTGCCAGGAAAATAGGAATTGCAGTAATTTATAGCCCTATTCCTCATTATTTGGCCCCTTAGACCTTCTCAGGAACCTATTTATTCTTCACTTCCCTTAAATCTCTAATTAGTGCAAGTAACTCAACTTTCTATTCTTATTTTATTAATCTTATGTTTTCTGATCAAGTTACATCCATCACTTTGCTTCGTCATTTGTGTTTTGAAGGCTTGATATGTCCTTGCCAGGTGATTTACGTTCCTCCCTGAAAATAACCGTAATAAATGGTCCAAATAGTTGTTGAAGTTGAGAAATTTGAATCATCCCTGATATACTGATTTCAAGAGCACTGAGCTCAATCAAGCCTAGAAAAATCAAGCCTAAAAAGTATACACCACAAAAGGGGAAACATCCTTTTTTAATATGACTTGTATATAAAAAATGATTGCAGAGAGGTTTGTGCACAAAGCCAGCTCTTTCAAATAAATTACTAACCTAGGTTTATGAAT